GCGTATCGCGTTCCTTCCGACTACGAGAAAAAAAAAAAAAAAAAGAAAACTTGCCGCAGCCGCGTGCGTTCTAACAGCGACTTTATGATTCTGGATTAGGTTTCACCAACATTTGATTTATCAAATTGTCGTAGCATCAGTGTGAGTCTAAATAATCGAATAATAAAACTAACTTAATGTTATTCGAAATATAAACATTACATTCACGCGTTCAGGAACATAAAGTCGCTGTTAGAACGCACGCAGTGTTAAATGATTAAGAAACTTTTTTTGCCATTTTTCAAAGGAACTATTAGATTCCTTGGACAAGTTTTATCTTCATGATGAATAGAATACAATGCAAAAAAAAAAATGTTTGTTCTTGAAATTCAAGGTTAAAGTCAATTTTGCGGCAGATTCTTTGTACGTATTTCCATCAAATCAAAGATGTAGAATTCATTTATAATAGCCACCGACAAACTTTTCTTTCCAGCCTGTACATATATCACGTGTACAAACGAAGATAATTACTCAATGGATTTTTATAAATACACAGTATGCATACAAATGTATCGTTTGGAATACATATTTGTCAGATGAAAGAAATCTTTACGCAATCAAAGTGCGAATTCGCGTCCAATCTCGTTCGTGTCCGCGATACCCTGGAGCCTGATTTATACTAAAGCCGAAATGAGAGCAGAAAGTGTAGCAGTCTCGACGCGGCCGGAGTTTGATCGAAGCCGAAACTTCAGTCGCAGAGTGTCAATCCTTTGGTGTAAATCCCTCGGCAGCCTTTCACGCTCTTGAAGAACAACTCTCTCGTACACACATTATAGAAACATATTTCCGAAACACCGAGGCTTTCTCTTGGCTCGCGCCAATAAGTGATCCAGACTGGCGCTTTTCTCGCCGCTTTGGTCGACGGATCAAAGAACGAATTTAAATTACGCTTATGGGTCAGAGCAGCACGTTCAACTGTTGCGCTTCGGCCATTAATTGGCGATCGAGGAATGGTGTTTCCGCGCTGTTCCATCCATTAATTAACCATTGAAACAATCCTCGCGAGTCGAGCCTCGCGTTCTCATTGTTAATTGGCTGTCGATTCGGCCGACCGGTTCGACTGCCGATCGAAGAAAAAAAAAAGACTAAAACTAAAACAGGAGGATGAGGATCAGGCGATCACCGGATCGCGCACGGATTGAAAGTTTCGACGATCGAACGCTCGACTTCCGAAGGTCCGCGGAGAGAAAGAGTCTTAGAAATAGTCCTCTTGAGTTGTGAAAGACGAGGAGACGCCAGTGGACGACGGGCCATTGTTCGAAACTCAAATGCACGCCTCGATGTGGACGTTGGTCATCTCGCTGGCTCTCAGCTGATTGTTCACGTGCAACTCCGAGGACGCGTTGCTGTGCACGAGGTCCTGCTTCCGGTGTGCTTGGCGAAGATCGCGGACCGGCCCGAGCGCCACGCAGCAACTCTCCAACGTCTTTCTGAACGCCGCCCGGAAGTCCCGGTTGAAATACGCGTAGATGAGCGGATTCAACGCGCTGTTGAAGTAGCCCACCCAAAACACCACCGCCACCACCGAATCGCTGCTCTCGCAGCTGTCGCACAGGGACGTGATGATGTACCTGTTGAAAAGAAAATATTCAAGCGTGAGAATTGGTAGAGAAATGAAAACTTTGTGAGAGTTTGGCAAGATAAAACTTTTCCAAGGGATCATAGATCGCAACCTAATAGTTTATTTAAAAAATGGGAAAAAAGTTTCTTAATCATTTCACACTGCGTCCTAACAGCGACTTTATGATTCTGGATACATGGATATTACGTAATATTTATATTTCGAATAGTGTTAATTCGACTCACACTGATGCTACAACTATGATAAATCAAATGTTAATCAAAATTACGTAAAACAGACGCGTCCAGAATCATAAGGTCGCTGTTAGAACGCACGTGCCATTTTTCAAAAGAACTATTAAGAATACAATGCAAAAAGAAAAAAATTTTTATCTCGAAGTTCAAGGTTGAAGTCAATTATGCGACAGATTCTTTACATGTGCTTCTATCAAATCGAAGGTGTGGAATTCATCTACAAACTTTTTTTTCCTTCCATCCTGTACAAGAATGTGACCGAAAAAATGAAAAAAATCAGTCAGTATTTAACCTCCAAATTTATGTCTTCACTCCACTCGACCTAGAATTAAGCCTAATTAACCGATATATCGCTACATTCAGAAACCACTGTTTCGGTCGTAACACTTCGATAATTTCCTTTCCCCTAAATCTTGTTTTCTAGACTTAGACGTTAAAGGATCATTTGACGAGATTTCTACGCTAATTGTCTGCTTCCGACCAATCTATACTTACTTTACAATTTAGAGAGTCTCTAGCGATCCTACCAAACTAGCGCGTCGAAATTATCGCGCATTTATTTTTTGGGATTCAACGAGACTGCCACCTGTGTGACAGGACAACAGGTAAAGTCTAAAGGGCAGCCTAGTAAATTCCTAGTGGCAGCCTGAGCAAGCGAAACTTCTGAAATCGATCGTGTATCGGCTCGGTTGGAAACCGATCTAGCAACTGCCAGGCGAAACTATATACTAAGTAGCCTAGTTGTTGTAAATGTATCGCAACTCGGTGCTGTTCTCTACTGTACTTGCGTGCTCGCTATTAATCTCCATTTCTAAAGGAGCGGTGCGCGGTTTGCAAGTCTCAACCGCGAGTTCGCCTCGAAATTGTTTCCATTGTTACGGCGTTCGAACAGATTTATTGGCTTCTTCCGTTATCGGCGGATCGCTCTCCGACGTTTCCACCTCCTCTGCTAGGACTTTTTGTAGAACGTATTGCAAAGACTTTCTTCTCTCTCTCTCTCTCTCTCTCGTTCTCTACTCCTCTGCGCTTTACGAGTTCTTTACAGGGGACTCGCTCAGAGTTCTTTTCTTCACCTGTCGTGGCATTAAATACAGCTTGGGCACGAATGCCCGATGTTTCTCGCAGGATGAAATACAGGACCTGATCCTGAGGCTAGGGTCCACGTTATCGACGATCGTGGCAGGATGTAATTGCCTGCGGGATTATTTATCCTTCGTTACTTAATCTGATCTGTAATAAATTTACCTTTGCCTTTGCCTCGCAATCTCCTTTCCAATATTCTTAGACAAACATTACTTACTGTAACTTGCTGTCTCAGTCGAAAAGTTATTTGTAATTCGTTGTAATTTATATTTTATTATTACGAATAACATTGAGGACGTCACTTGTAATTTATACTTGTTAACGTTCGATTCGAGAATCGAATTTGAGAATTGCAGTTTCCTCGCTTCTTCTAAATCGTACGTAACCATAACTTATAGCACGTGTATTATAAGACAAGAGATTAATTTTCATTAATGTATTGTAATTGTTTATCCGTCGGTGGACGATAAGTGTGTATGAGCGAAAATGAAATCGGTGTGTATATGTGTGAGGTGATTTACGACCATATAATTTCTACGGAATCGCTATCTTTTTAAAGTTGAAAACAAAGCTGTTGCAAACGTCGTGTCCATTTTCTCTTTTCGTTGAGTTCGTTTCGTTTTCGTCCTCGTCATCCAGTCAGTGACCGAAGAAGAGCAGAAACATCCGAGAGACAGCCCTTTCGATTCAAATTCGCCGCCTGTGATCTCACTGCCTCGGTTTCCCTGTGAATTTCAGAACGGCCACCTGACAAAGTGAAACGCGCATATTCGCGAAAGAGAAAGTTCTTTTTCTCGGAAAGGAATCAGTCATACGCGTGCCGTACGCCCTGTGACTAGCAGCAATAAAGTCCCACCATTTGCCAAAATTCCCCGAGAATTGCGACAGAGGCCTGTAGCATAAGAACGTGACCTAAAAAAAAATGGAAAAAGGTAGTTAGCATTTAGCCTTCACTCTAACCGATATTCAATAACATTTTAACGTTGAGAAGGGAACTCATTATTTCTTTTATTGTTTGCAACTTATAATTTTTTTACATATTTTACGATATCGATCCTGGTTTTCTTTCGCGTGTATAAAAAGTCCCTGTCTCCTTCCAATTTTGACATTCTTCTTTGTCTATTCGTCATTCAAGAACGATTTCGCTCGTCCTTCGTTGAACCAATCAATCCGAGTGCAACTGCAAATTTACGTCAATGTTATTTCCTTTCTCCCTTCGGTTCATTAATTTCTCGCGCATCACTGACAAACGAAGCGACGTGCACTCGCTTTTACATCGACAAAGTTTGTTGCCTCGCGTGCTCTCTCAACGAGGAATCGCGCATCGATTTCGGTTTCCTCTTTCGTTAATTTTTCATCCATCGCTTTGCCACGTCCCGTTGCTATTTTCGTTCGCGTCGTAAATAGCAAATGAATTTCCCGTTCAAAGTGAATTGTTATGTACATGACAAAGTAATAAAAGAAAAAAAAAAATGAAATAATATCGCAAACGATTCACGTGGTATAATTGATCAATCACGCAGAAACTAAATAAAAAAGATCCTTAGAGAAAGCTAGTCTGAATTTTACTACTCAGACTTTTCATCACGTTGAAATTATATTAGATTTTATTATTTGATAACTAACTACGTAACGATAGCAAGAATTTCACAGAACTATGTATTAAAGTGGAGTGGGTAAAGCGTGGGAGCCAATAAAAGGAGCAAAACGTTAAAAATAACCTTCCGTGCCGAGCCTTCCTATTTTCGTCTTGATTAAATAAATATAAACATTATGAAACTATAAGAGCTGGTGACGCAACGAGCGGTGCAGTTCCGAGCAGATGGCAACAGTTGATCGACGAATCCATGACACAATCAGGCTTTCAGACATAGACGCTGCGCTGTGTCATAGGTTATGTCACGATGAGAGGAAGAGAGAAACAGGCAACGGCGCGGCGAACAGCGGGAAAAGGAAAAGTTTCCAGACGATTGGAACGTTACAACACATTCGTGAATACGAGGCACCCGGTTCGATCCTCTCCGATGGGAAAAAGTCCGACCAGTTGCTCGGAAAAAGAATTGACCTTCACCCTTCGCTCGGTTAATTTTAGCCCGGATTGTAGCTAAGCTTGTGCACACGATTGACGCATCGATTGTGTACATCCTACACAAATAGTAGCAAAGGCAAGCGCAACTGTGTGCGAAGAAATCAGTCAGTGGGATCGTCATTCGATAGAAAAATTCTTTCTGCTGAGCCAGCAATATTGGCTCAGTGCTAATGCTGACAATGAGTCAGTAATAGTCCTGCTAAAGTGACCTGAGCGAGCAGTTACTCGCGTAGGGCAAATTTCAGTAGTTGGTCGTCCACGATTTATCATCGATAAAAATACAAGAAAACGTGCCGAGAAGCGAAGAACATTCTTTTCCATCAAGCAGGCCTTTAAAATTTAGTTTATTTGTAGAATAAAATCTTAACCTCTTAAAAAAGTACAAGTGTCGTCTCTTTACGCGGGATCCAACAATCTGGTGGATATATATCCAAGAAAATACTAGTACTGTATATTTGAGAGAGTTTATTCACGTTTTCAACCGTGGTCAAAAATGATGTTGGGACTTCATGATGAAGAAGAGCACGTCTTTTTGTAATAATTGTGAATCGTACGGAAGATACGGGAAAAGAAACATGGATGACCAGCTACTTTGAATAACTCGTTCAGGACACTTTCAAAGATCTATTGATATTATCAGGCCTAATTGATCGTCCAATAGTACATAAAATTGACATTGAAAGGAAAACATAAAACAGCCGCGAAATTCCTAGAAGAAATAAGGGTGAAGGATGTTAGAAGACTATAAATGACACTCGCGAGTCAATTCTATTCAATTCTATCGGACGAGTGGAAGCTTTAGCAGTGCTTTCGAATAAACGTCGTATCATATCAGATTTTATTTGAGATCAAACTTGAGCTCGAACAAGCTTCCAGAAAGATTCAAGAAGGAAGAGTACAAACTTTCTTACGGCGGTGAAGCGTGCCTTTAAGCACCGTCTCTTATCTCTAACCGTTGTAAGTGTAACTGTGATCGTAAAAACCAAGTGGATGATGTTCCGAGTGGCATCAAGATTCGCGAAAGGAACTGTTTAGAATGTAACAAAGGAGCCTTTCAGCCTGTTTCGTGGCTCAGAAACTGTTGGATGTATAAGGATATGGTTTGGTTGAATGTCGGTCGAATTTCCAGAAAGAGGACAAAGAAGGTATTCTATGTGTGTATGTGTGTGTGTGTGTGTGATAGACAAAAGGCGCGGCAATTTTCAAAGCGGCGAAAGCCAGAAGATGGTTGAGGATGCAGGTTCAATCTGTCTGTCTCGAGCTGAGAAGAATCTCTTCGACTGCTTCGTCTCGCTTTAAGTTCGTTTACGAAGGCTCGGGATTTTGTTGCGAGTGCGATCGATACCGTTTCGTAGATTTCAATCCAAAGCGATTTCAACGCACGCTCGCCGCACGGAGGGGTGGCCTTTTACGCCTCGGGATATCCTTCAGCCAGCAAAAGAAAAGAAAAAGAAAAAAAAAAA